TTTGTTGTTGTTTTTGGGAAGTAAATATTGTTATGCCTTTTACCTCAGCACTATCACAACAGAATTCAACAAATACAGTTAAGCACTTATTAAGTGTCTAGTACTGTTCAATACTTTAAAAAAGTTTCAAAAAAAATTTCCAACCATACACTTGAATGTGTAGATATAATCTTAAAGGAGGGATTCTGCCCTGAAGAGGCAAAGAAACAGATTGTTAGAAGTCACTAGCAAGATCTGACACACACATACACACACGTGCACACAATAGATCCCAGGCCAATCTGAAGGGATCTGCTGCAAACTGCAAATTCTCAGACCAAGGTCTCCTTGGGGTTTCTGGGGACCTCCTGCTCCTCCCACCCCCTCTTTCCTGAAAACAGGCAGCCCCAAAGACAAAACAGCCACCAGCTTCTTCTATGCCAGGGCTCAACATGTTAGGACATGTTCCTGAGGGTCTGAGTACTAGTCAGGACCACAGCTGGCTGCCCAGGCATGCTCCCCAGGAAGCAGGCGGCTTAGAGAGGTAGTGAGACTCAGCCTAGGGGACAGAGGATCCAGACCAGACCCCACGTAGGAGGGAGGTGATGATGGAAAGGAAAGGTGGAAAGCCCTAGCTTGAAAAAGGAGGATGTGAAGAATTCTCAGTGGTGGCTACAGGAGCTGCCTGGGAAGGGAGAGGAAGTGCTGGGAACAATGTCACCATTTCTCAGAAAAGGTCTGGGGAGTCCCTAACAGGCTCAGTCAGCTTTCAGAATTCACCTCCACACAGGCTCCCAAGAAGTGAGACCCCAGAGAAGAGGCAGAACAGAGACATTGTATTATTGACCAGAAGTCCCACCTGCTTTTTTTTTTTAATGGAAGAATGAGATTGGGATCTCCCTGCACATACCGCCCCCTAAACTTCTGGGAGCTTTACCCAGCCAGTCTAAATTTCAGGACTGACCATACAGTGAACTAGAGAAATTTGTGACCTATATGTGCCACACAAACACTTCCAGCCTCCCTAAGTTAGAAATTTCACCTTGCCAAAGCCTAAAATTTCACCATTAGAAATTCATTCCTTTGGCACTAAGTTTTGTTCTTCATTAAATAAGATCATACAGGTAAAATGCTTAGCATACTGCCTGGCACATAGAAATCAGTGGGGCAAATGAGTGCCTGAGTCCTGCAGAGGGTTCTGGGTGATACAACACAGTGTGAATGAGTTGATCAGATCATTTAGAGACAAGAAAGTGGTGAAAAATTGCTGTAATCACAGGCCACTTGAGGAGTGACGGACTCTCTGTGACTTTGCACATATTATTCCCTCTTCCTGAGTGTTTCTGACCAATCTGCCCCATCTCTACTCTTGTCTCCACCTGTTGAACTCCTACTGATCCTCCATAACCCAACCTATATGACCCCTGAGGATAACGCTTTCTCAGGGCCCTCTCTGGCCCCCAGAGCTCCTGGTAAGCAATCTACTCAACTCTACTTTGCTGGCTTGTTTGGTGTATGTTCCTACTGCATCCCCTGAGCTGGAAACCTAGAGGGGATAATCCCATATTTTATTCATCTTTGTACCTTCAAGGCCTAGCAGCCTCAGCCAAAGCTCAGTAAATATTAATGGAAGGGCCATTTTTGGCCTGCACTCTGAGGTTAGACTTCAGTGCTGCTGCTTCTGAGCCTTCTCTTTTACTTATTCATTCATCTGTTTACTCATTTATTCATTAAAAAATAATATAATTAACACTTAGTGCTCAACCAAGAACTAGGGCATAACAAATCACTGATACCTTCCTGTGAGTTCCTCTCCTATGCTGGTGCCTTCTCCCCCTACCCCAAAGTAAATACCATCCTGAATTTTATGGTGGACTTTCCTTTGTTTTCAATAGTTTTATTACATGTGATCAAGACAATAATAGTCTTTCATTTTTCTGTGTGCTTTTCTACATTTCTCAGCCTCTCCCTGCAGTTTAGACAGGGTCATGTGACTAGTTCTAGCCACTGAAATGTGAACATAAGTAACACTTGTCTCTTTAGAGTTGAGGTCAAGTGAAATTTCCCATCCTTTCTGTCCTCCATGAGTGTGACAATAGTGAGGTCTCATGTCCCAAACGGTGCCACCTCAATATGGCAGAGCCTCCAGCAGCCTGGGTTCCTGAGTGACTGTGGAGCCAAGCACCCCACCAACTTGCATAAGATATGTTTGTGAGAAAGAAACAATCCTTTGTTGTGTGAAGTCACTGAAATGTGAAGCTTATTTATTCCTGCAGTATAACCTACTTAAGATTTACCCATATGGCAGTGGGTGCTTGTGGTTTGTGGAAGTCTGCAGCACCCAATGAATCCACCTCTGAGTATTCACACTCTTTTATAGTTGCCTCCCCTTGAATCTGTCTGGCTTATGACTCCTTTAGCTAATATAATGGTACAGAAGTAACCCTGTGCCTGTTCCAGGCTTAAGCCATAAGAAGGTCTAACAACTTCTGCTTCTGCATTCTTGGGGATCTTGAGATACCATGTGAGAAGTTTGATGGGCAAGCAATGGGTCTAGAAGGAGGCAGTGGGAGGGAGAACCCAGTGCTGGGGCAGCAGGGACTTGGGAGGGACTATAGGAAAGCCAGGGAGTGGGGGAGGGCCGTTCCAGAGAACCCACAGATCGTGTTTTCATTTTAATTATTTGCCATTTCTACCCTGGGCCGTCTAAACTTTGCCCAGGTGATAAGAGTATGTGTGAAGTCCATTGCCCAGGTGGGCAGAAGAGCTAATGAAAGAATGGCCTTGCGCAAAAATCATGTGGCCTGGACTATGCACAGTTAAACTAAAGCCATTTCCAACTTCACCGTGGCTCTTTTATCCACCAGCATAGCCTCATTCTGTACACAGATGCCACCCAGAGAATGCCTTCGGTCCCTCTGCTTTGGGAGCACATTTTGGTCTTTATTCATTTCGTCATTATTGCTACAAAGTGTTTTTCTTCTTTCTCTTTGTTCTGAGGGCTCTATTTTTCTATCCAGAGCATTATTTTTTCTAACAGCAAAGCCTCCAGATCCTGCTATGTGTGTCTTCTGCTTCCAGAATCCTAACAAATTTGGTCGATTTCCCACTAATTAGTATAAACCAGGATGTTGCTATACAGGGTAACTTATTTAAGTTCTTTTTTTAATTGAAAAAATGTTTTTCTTTACTTTTTTGTTATTTTGGGGGGGAGGGAATCAAGCTTATTCATTCATTCATTCACTCATTTATTTATTTTTAATGGAGGTACTGGGTATTGAACCCAGGACCTCATGCATGTGAAGCACACACTCTACGACTGAGCTGTACCCTCCCCCGCTATCTGAGTTCATTTGTGCCAATCCATAAAGTAAAGATTTGCTACAAAGGTAAGCCTTTATTTTAATAAAACTATTATAATTGGGAGGAAGGGTGTGGGTAACAATCTCCTGTGAAAAGATAAATAAACCAAACTGAAAAGTCAGGGAGAAAAAAAGAAGAAGAAAAAGAAGTTTGATTACTCTGAGACAACTATGATTGAGAAGTCATATGGAGAGGCCACATGCAAGATAATGGAGGCTACCCTCCCCCCCAACAATAGCTCCAGCTGATCTAGCAGACAGTCAGCATCAACATGCCAGCCACGTGAATGGGACCATCTTAAAAGCTGATCTTTCATCCTAATTTCAGCCTCCTGAGTTAAAGCCACATGAAGCAGAGACAAGCCATCCCTAACGAGCCCCTGCCAAAACTGTAGAATTGTGAGTAGATAAATGATCGTGTTTGCCACTATGTTTTAACATGGTTTGTTATGCAGCAATGCATAGTTAAAACAGGGCTCAATCATTAGCATTATTTAACATCCAGTGATTCCCTTCTCCTGTCAATGGACACTTGAGTTATTTCCAGTCTGTGTTATTATGCATGGGGCTGTTATGATTATTTTTATCCATGTCTTTGGGCACATGTGCAGTGGTTTCTCTTGAATATACACTTTGGAGTAGAATTGCCCCCAGTCTTCCTGTCAGGAGAAAAGTGACTGATGAAGCACTCGCACCTGGTGTTTGGGCCTGTCTGTATCTTTCTGGATTATTAAAACAAGTCTGCACATGTTTAGGATTATCATTGCTTTCATTTTTTGTGGAGGAATTAAAATGGATCCAAAGGAATGAAGCACTAATGGTGGAATTTCAGACACTGAACACCTAAGAACAGATATTTGGTGGCAAGGGGAACTGCCCACAGACACAGTCCTCTGAGCTGGCCTTAAAATCCCCAAGACATCCCTCTCCACAGGTCCTTTAGCTCAGAACAGCCTTCTGAATGATCCCCCAAAATAGGAATTATGCATTCTTTCATTTTTTCCTTCCTAACAAATTATTTTTAAGCCCCTCCCAACAAAAAGCTCTAGCATACATCAAAGTTCTCAGGGTCTCGAGTTTGGATGCTCTGACCACATAGCAGTGTGGAGTCTTACAAAGTAATTTCAGGATCTCGTGTCTATTATCTCACTCCTCACCATCCCCCCCTCCCATTCTGCCTCTCCATCTAGGACAGGTGTTTTAGATCCATATTATAAATGGGGAAACGGAGGCCCCAGGAGGTACTGGCTTTGGCTGAGATGACACAGGCAAAGAGTCAGGGCAGACCCAGGGCTCTGGCTGTGGCCTCACCTTCTCTGCTCCCCCTCCTATCAGCTGTTTGTCCTCATCTTTGCTTCCCTAGGATGATGCTGTGTCACACATGGTCAAAATGCCACCAGAGCCACTGTGGAATGCAACAGCTGCAACCCCAATCCCCAAATACTGGTGGCCCCAAGTTCAGAGCTGGGGGAGATGATGCCTCCCTCTCCCCCACCCTCAGTGGTTTCTAATAATCCTGCACCTGCTGTGAGGATTGATTGCCGATGTCTCCTCTTGGGTACCGGCAAGCAGCTCAGTGCTGGATTTAGGAAGAAAAGTGGGGGTGTGGGTTAGGATGACACTAACCATTGTAATAAATAAACTCTCAAATTCTGATGACAACCAAAAAGAAGTTTATTTCTCACATATGAATACAATTGAGGTGTTCTTGTTGGCAAGAACATGGTTGACCTCCATGTGATGATTCAGGGACTCAGGCTCTTTCCATCCTCTGGCTCCAACATCCCCTAGGGCATCAGGATCTCTGCTTTCAGCTGAAGGAAGGAGAAAGAATATGAAGAAGGTATATGTATTTCTTCATGCCTGGTTCAGAAGTGACACACATCATTTCCCACCCATATTCCATTGGTGAGAACTTGTCATGTGGTCCCACTTAGATGCAAGGGTCTGTGTAATCCCTGGATAGGACACAGATTTGTGATGACGTGCTGGCCACCTCTGCTACAGCAGAAGAGCTAGGCAGCTAAGAACCCCATCCTTTCCAGGCTCCCACAAGGTTTTCTTCCTGCTGAGTTTCTGGACCTGGCCACAAGAACAGTGCCACCTCTGCGCTGCATGACCTTGGACCTCAATATCTTCATCTATAAGACAAAGACTTTCATATCCATGATTTTACAACCTCCCTGAGAAGTTGAAAAAAAAAACAAAGTAGACATGAAGCTCCCCAGTTCCCAGAGGAGGAAACTAGGACACAAAGAGACAGTATGACTTGTCTAAAGTCACACAGCAGGACCCAATTTCCCCCTTCTGGTACACAGGTTTGTTTTGTTTTGTTTTGTTTTGTTTTGACTAGTCAACATCAAAGTCTGCTGAGAAGTCCCTGGACTGAAATGCAGGAAAATTCCCTACTCAGCAAACTCATCTGAAAACCTCCTGGGGGCCTAGGAGGTTACTAAGAAAAGTTCTTTTATTGTCTGAAATGCAGCTATAGAGACACTGACAGGTTCTTGATGGGGGTGTGTGGGACCTAACCTGGACCTCGTTGGGGGAGGGGATTGGTGGGGGTGAGACTTCAGGGAAGGCCCAATCCTCTTTATCCCTTTGCAGATGCCTGAGCTCTTCCACTAGACCTTCCTCCTTCCAGCTCAAGGATTCTCAGCATAGGGAGTGGGAGGAAAGAAACATTTTGAAAAACGTTCAGGTCCTACAAGCACACGGACTCTCTCTGGAAGAAGACACAAAAAATAATGATAGTGGTTACCTCTGGGGAGAGTCGCCTCCTTCACGGCCACCATTAGCACCATGCAAGTGTATGGGGACAGCACCCCTGGAGTTGTGTTATGTAGTACGTGGGGTGAAAGGTAGGCTTATTCCTGAATATATTTTTAATAGTTAATCCATTTAAGATAATTAACACAATTAAAAACATGTTACAATTTCTGGCCCTATCTAGACTGAATTAAAATTGTGTCAGGGTCAACTAGCTACAAAAGTATGCAGGTGTTTTGAAAAATCTCCCCAGTGACTGAAACCTCCCCCGCCTCCAGCCTCACAGCTTTGGGAAGGAACCCTGATTTAGTCTACCCATGTGCAGGGCCCCCTTTCTCACCTCTAGATGTTCTCAGCAGACCCTCCTATTCTGGTGAGAATGAGAGAACTAGGAATATATTCTGTCACCAAGAGGAGATGGGGAAAGAGAGGACGGAGCAGGGATTTGGGGCAGGTGGGGTGGGAGCTCAAGGCTAAGTGAGCAGAAGGCCAGCGTCTCTCCTGGGCAGTCATCTCTCCTGGGCAGTCGGGTCCCTCACACCCCTGCAGCTCTGAACCACTCCTCCCACTCCCCTCCCCTTCCCGGCCCCAGTGTATCGCATCAGCATCTTTGGCCGGCAAAGCTCAGGCTCGGCCTTGCCCGGGCTTGCCTTTTGTTGCATCACCCTCTGGCCTTGCCGGGTGCCAGGGGAGCAAGCCGCCCACTCACCACTGGATAAAACCAGCTAATTATATCACCAGGAGACCCAAGGCAGGAGCATGTAGGCATTTTCAGCTGACCCAGCCTGTTTCTACTTGCTTTGCATGATTGTTCTTGGTTTTTCAAAATAATAATAACTACCAACCAGGAAAAAAAATTGCCTGGGGCTGTGGAGCAAGCAGCTGAAACAAGAGCCAGGGTCCACCTGCTGCTCCAGGAAGAGACTGACCCAGCACTCAGCTCAGAAAATGAAAAACAAGTCTCTTGACTCCCAAATCAGGGCTCGACGGACAAGTAGCTCTGAGGACAGGAATCAGCAGAATCAGAAAGACAAACATGGCTTTGACAGCATCAGTAGCAACAGCACAGTAACTTATTTTTTCAAAAATTAAAAAAATTCTATTTGTAGTTTAATCAAAAGTGTAGAGAGTTTGTTTTTTTTTTTTAACTGAAGTACAGTCAGTTACAATGTGTCAATTTCTGGTGTACAGCACAATGTCCCAGTCATGCATATATATACATATATTCCTTTTCATATTCTTTTTCATTAAAGGTTATTATGAAATATTGAACATATTACCCTGAGCAATTCAGAAGAAACTTTTTTCAAATCTATTTTTATATATAGTGGCTAACATTTGTAAATCTCAAGAGAGTTTTGTTTTTCCATAATTTCCTGTATTTATTTTTTGAGGAGATAATATAGTCAAAAGATGCAAAATGATATGCAGCAAAAACTCCCTCCTATCCCTGCCCTCCAGCCACCCATTTCCTTCCCAGAGGCTGTGGCTGGTTGCTTATGTCTCCTGATTGAGTTGGTCTATGAATACCCAGGTCCACAGTCCTTCACCCAAAACATTTGGGGACAAATGGGTTTCAGAATGCAGACCTTTACAGATTTTAGACAAGTAATGAAGTACATATACCATGCATTTTGTAACACCTTCCTTCCCCCCATCCAGGATTTTAACATTGTCAATTCCAAGTCTAAGGAACCCCTCGGTCACAGGCAAAGAGTTCCATGGGTCACTCTAGGTCTCAGGTATAAGGTATTCACAGGTATTCACACTAACAGGGGTAAATAACAGCTACAAATGGCTTCACATCCTTTCAGCTCTGGTTTTACTACCAAATAAATTTGTCACAAACCAAAGAAAAATCTTTCAGTTTTTAGAGTTTTTTGGATTTTGGAATTGTGGATGAGAGACTGGATCTGTAAGCAAATATGCATATATTCTTTTCACCTATCTAAAACACAGTATTGGGATCCTTGCTTTTATTCACTCAACTTATCTTAGAGCTGTCCCACATCAGTATAGAGAAAGCCTCCTGTTCCTTTGTACTGCTACAGTTAACTCCATCACATAGGTGGACCACTTTAGGCTGTCCCCATCCAGGCTTTTGCTATTACAAACACACATAAGTTTAGATGTAGCTAACTACATGGGGGTGGGGGTGGCAGTCCCAGAGGAGGAGTCATATTTTCCTTCCTAATGTTTATTTGTGACTGCAGGTTTAAGTCCAAGCCGACTCAGAAGTTGAGGGAAATACAAGAAGACTTGCTGAGGTCTCCAGGATGCCTTGCACCTGTCCAACCACTTAAATCATGAAAAGTCATTCACATTGAGAATGGTTTTTTCAAGCCAGAAACAACTTACATTCAGACCTATCATATTAAGTTCTTCCAGAGAAACAGAACCAATAGGAAATACATATTTATATACATGTATATATATTATATATATGTGTATATATATAATATATATATATAGAGAGAGAGAGAGACATAGATGGATAGATATAGAGAAACAGAGAGAGAGACTGAGAGACAAATTTACTGTAAGGAATTAGCTCATGTGATTATGGAGGCAAGCCCATAATCCATAGGACAGGCTGACAGAATGGCATTTCAGCAGGAATTGGTGTTGCAGTCTTGAGTCTGAAGGCAATCTAGAGGCAGAATCCTTCTTCTTGGGGTGGGGAGAAGTTGGACCTCAGTCTTTTGTCTTAGGCCTTCGGCTGACTGGATGCAGCCCAACCACATTATGTTGGGTAATCAGCTTTACTCAAAGTCTACTCACTTAAATGTTAATAACATCTGAAAAATACCTTCACAGCAATATCTAGACTGGTGCTTGACCAAATAACTGGGTACCAAGTTGACACAAAATTAAACATCACACCTATTTAACATCCCAACTCTTTAGCTTTGAGTGTTTGTCACGGATGGGATATGAAAGTCCTCACCCTCCCAGAGCCAAAAGTTGCAGAAAAGATATAGCTGAGGTACATAAAACATCACAAAGAGTATGAAGAAGTGTCTTGTATGAGATAAATTGGAAGTTTCTGAGAACAGCCTGGAAAAGTCCCCTCAAATATAGTCCAGAAAGCCAGGGAGACACTGGGAGTTGATGCCTAACTTTGAGAAAAACAGGCTTCTTCTCTTGTCAATTTCACTCCTTTTTCAATAAAAACATAAATCCTTAACAAAGTGGACCAGCAGAGCAGCATTAATAAAGCCTAAATGTAAGAAGAACACAAGCTCTCAGTAAAGAACACAGGTATAACAGGGCTCGTTTCTCCCTGATCTGTGACCGTTCATCCATTTCAGTTTCTGGTTTAATCTCCAGTTGTAAAACATTTTCCCAGTTGGACTTGTAGTCATGTTTCTAAGCTGCCACCCACCCTGGGATTTCAGAGGCTTCTTGTTTCACATAGTTTCAAAAGGCCTTCCAGCTTCTCCTGTCTGCCAAGGGCTTGATCCACCCAAAGACTAAGCCATTTTCCTGCTGGTTTTCCTTGAGAACAAAACAGATCCAGAGTATATTCATTCATTCATTCATTCATTTATGAATGATATTACCAGCCCAAATGGTGACAGGTTGAGGCTATGGCTACAAGAGGAGATATGAAATACTATGCACCAATAACAAAGGAAAACAGGCTTAGATAGGCAAAAATGCTACCCAGATAGGTCTCCATGACCAGGCCCAGTTAAAGAAACAGGTGGGATTTCAACAGAGGCCTTGGAAGTCTGAATTAGGAATCCCCTTTCTAAAACTAAGGGAGGGTCTAGGTAGGGATTAAGTTTATGCAATGATGGAAGTCCTCTATAAGAAAAAGAAGATACAATTATAAATATAATATTGCCAGGGAACTTCCCATGCAAATAAGAGTCCTGGAAGCCTGCCTTCATTAGCTCATCATAAATCCACCATGTGTATGGCTAAACAAGGATCAGGGTGTATGTGCAAGGAGTGGTTCCTGGGGCCATAGTTTTAAATTTTCAAGGACCAGAATAACTTGAGTGGGAGGACAACACAGGAGAGGCAAGAGAGAGTGGATGGGGCCATCCTGTAATACCCAGATCAGACCATCTCATGTATCCTGGACCTCTCTGCTGGCTCTGCACAGGGTGCTCTGATGGATGGTGCTCTAATCCATGCCTCTCCCAATATAACAGTAATGATGATGATAATAATAGGAATAGTGAGCATTAGTATTACAGCAGCTCACACTCACTGTGCACTTCCCATGTGCCAGGCACTAAGTACTTTGTCCTTAGTCACTTGGTGAGTTTTCATAACAACTCTATGAATGAGACACCATTACTTTCATCCCCATTTTAAAGATAGGAAACTGAAGTAGAGACAGAGATTAAATCATTTGCCCAAGCCAGGCAGGGACAGAACAAGGATTTGAACCCAGACAGGATGGCTCCAGAGGTAAAGCTCTTAACCACTAATAACAATAACAGCTAATAGTTAGGTCCTGATTACCCTGTGCCAGCTGCTCTTCTAAATGTGCACATGTATCAGCTCAACTAATCCTTACAGGTACTATTAGTATCCCCATTTTACAGATGAGGCAACCAAAACACAGAAAGGTCAAGCCACTTTCCCGGGTCACAGAGGGACTTGAACCCAGGAGTCTGGTTCCAGCAACCACATTCTTGTGTACTGAACTGTGTCCCTGTGTCATGACTGGGTTTAAGGATAATCTGAGAACCGTGACCATAGTTTACATTTCTCTACATCACGTGTGGTGCCAACATTGTAGAATTTAAGAAGCACTCAATAAACAGCCAATGAATCTTTCTCTAAAATAACCCCTCCTGATACGTACAAAAGTCATATTTCAAGTTCATGTAGAAAATCTGGAAAATACGGAAAGGCTGCAAGGAGAAATGCAAGTCATCCTCCCTACAGCAGAGATAACCACAGCTAACATTTTGGTGTCTTTCCAGTCAGTGTTGCAAAATAAGGATCACACTCTATGCCCTGTTTTGTAACCTCCTTTTTTTCTCGCTTATCAATACATCACAAACATTTTCCCATGTCTTTAGATTTTCTTCTGCAATTTCCACAGAGAAATAATTTGTCAATGTTCAAGTGGCCTGCTCAGGGTGCCGACATCAATGAACCAGTGTCTCCCACAAACATCTCCCTCCCTAGGGGGCTCCTCATAAATAGCCCTCTCCCATCAACATCTCCACCTCCCCTATGCCCACCCTAGACACTAGACCCTTTTCTACTTCCTGGCATCCCATGGCATTCCCTTTGCCTTCTTACTTAGATGCAAGGTATCCTCCACCCCTGCCAAGGGTGTGTCCCCATCCTTTTCAACATCTCATACCTCTGTTATCCTGTTTTCCCCTCTCCAAGTCACTCTGTACCCTTCTCACACTCTCCCTCAGACACAGTCAGACTTCGCCATCGTGTGCCCCATTCCCACAGGTCTTGCTAGAGACAATCGAATCCCATCAGCAAACTGGCATTAGGCAACATCTCTTGCAATGCACTGAATGACAGGTGCTGGAGGCTGCAGCGTGGGAGTCTCTCCCAGGAATACAGATGTATTT